CACGTATTGTCAGAATTCGTGTTTTGTTTAATTAATTAGCTTAATTACGAGATTAAATGAACACGGATTTTGGTAATCCGTGTTCCGTTCATAATTAACGGAACACGGATTTTCGGGATCCGTGTTCGTAGTAAAATTACACTTACACGGATTTTCAAAATACGTGTTTCGTTAAAACACGGATTGTGAGAATCCGTCCGTTTTATTTTTGTCCACAATTTTTTATTTTTTGTTTTATTTTAGTCCACTTATTTTTTATTTTTTTTAAATAAATAAATGATTCCAAGAATAGAACTTAAGAATCACACCACTATAGCCATAAACTACTGTGAAATATTACTTCGGACATTTGAAGTAGCAAATCCAATGCAAACCGAAAAAACTAAAATTTTATAAGTTGAAAATCAAAAACTTAATTACTAATGTAAAAACTAGGGCTGAGCAAGCAGGGGCGGAGCCAGGATTTTAAGTCTACCCAGGCTAGAATTATTTTTGCAAATATATATATATATATATATATATATATATTTGCATATTTATATAAAATAAATGACAAAAAATGTACATTTTTTTTACTGCATTCCAACAAACGTTTTGTTCTCTTTATATCTCATCTACAACTTCTTTAGTGTGCATAAAATTTACAAAAGTTAAACAAAAGACTATTAAACCCATTATTTCATTTGGATGTATGAAGAATTTAAATATTTTTAAATAAAAGATAAGATAATTTGCGTAGACGTACCTAAAGTTGTGATCTACGATTCTTTAAAATATAATATTCATGAATTACAGAGTCAGAGTCAATACTTGTGAATATAAGCCTACAACCCATAAAGACTGAAGTAATTTATTAAACATGATTAATTCACTAAATATTATAATTTACTAAAACGTATTAAAAATTTAAAATAAAATATGAGGACACCAAAATACTTAAGATAAATTTTTGTGCCCATTTACTGTGTTAAAAAGAAAGATGAGAAAAGATCTTGGTATAATTATAGATACCTACTTGAAGTTTTTTTAGCTTCGACTCAAAACATTACGGATTTATGTTTGAAGTTATCAAATTTCGGGAATTTGAAAACTTGTACTTAGCCCTAAAAATTATTCAAGGGAAAATTAATGTTAAAGATGGAAACAACTTTTTTTATCCTTATCATCTGCAACTCTTAATTCACTAAATATGAATATAATTGGATGATTAATTTATTAAACATAAATATAATTGAATGATGTTAAATTAAATTAAAATGATGTTGGGATAAGGTCACTCGGGGCGCACGGATTTGAAGACAATTGCAGGAAAAATTAATGGAGTAAGTGGTCCCTCTTTAGGCTAATAAATAAATTATAACATCTTTAGAAGTTGATAATGCTAACTTTAAATCTTTTAAATGGACTTGCATGTTATAATTTTATTGGGCTGGGTGGGCTATTTTTAGTTTATTGAACTTGAGCCTGGGCTAAAGCATAAAAAATCCTAAACAAGGTCATATAAAATACATAAGTGGACTATAGATCCACCTGGGCTACAGCCCAGGTAGCTTTGGGTGTAAATCCGCCTCTGTGAGCAAGGGACTCGGAGAATTCTAAACCGTTCCAAAAAACGAACCGAATTCACTCCGAACTGAAAAATAACCGTTGACCGTTTGACTTTCTCCGAACCAAACCGAACTGAAAAAATAATTGGTACGGTTCTAGAGATTTCACAAATATCCGTACCGAGAATCGAACTGAACCGTCCCGTACTGTATCGAACCGAAGAACCGAAATTAAGAACCGAATTATAACATTATATGTGTTATTAATATATTTTATGTCAACTTTGACTTTATATAATATAATAATAAATACTAATCTTCACTTAAATTTAATGCTTAGTAATGCGTGATCTACAAATTGATTTTTTTCTATTATAACATAATTATTTATAATAATATGAAAGTTTAAAGAATTTTTTTTAAGAAAAACATATTATATTTTATTTGAATTTTAATTTTCAATATTAGTTGCACAAATTTAGTTATAACTAAAATTTAGAGTTACTTATAAAGTTGATTTCAAAATAAAATCTGTAATGTGAGGAAGTACTGATGAATGTTGGTTTTATTAAACCATATATAAAATAAAATAACTAAACTTTAGAGTTACTTCTAGAATTGATTTCAAAATAAAATCTTCAATATGATGAATTATTGATGAATGTTGTTTTTTCAAAGCATAAAAAAATTAAAATATAACTAGGTCGTCATTCAAAAATAATTTAAAAAAATAAAAAATATCTGAAGATCCGAACCAAACCATACCGAACCGAACCCTCCCAATAGTCCCGAATAATGAACCGAACCGAACCGAAAAATAAAAATCTTCGAACCGAACTGAACTGACTTTTTGGTACGGTTCCGGAGATCAAATTTTGGGATCTCCGAAATTTGGTACGGTTCTGGAGATTTATCAATCTCCGAACCGTACCGACCCACACTCGCCCTTAGTAAAAACCGAACCGAAATTTTTATTTAGGTCAATTTTTCGGTTTTGGCCGAACTTTGCACACATCTAAAGGTGGCCACATCTAGATATACCAACCCAACACAACTTTTTCATATACAAGGAGATATCAAACTCAATCTAGCCAACCAAACACTCTTTCTTAATATAAAGCTCCATGAATTAAGGTAACCATACTCACCACAAGGTAGTGTTTGGTTCCAGAGAAAAGGAGGATAGGGAAGGATATTTTTTTTAGGGTAAATAATATTTTCTAACCAGTACTATACGTGCTTTTGGGATTTTCAACCTAAAGTATTATTTGTTGTAAAATGCAACCTGAACTATATATACAATCACTATTTGCACGCTCGACCACATCTTGACCATACACGTGTCCTTTTTAGCTGTTGATCGAATGGTCAAAAAGTAGTCGAGCGTGCAAATAATTATATATATGTAATTCAGGTTGCATTTTACCAAAAAAAATACTTTATGTTGAAAATTCCAAAAGCACGTATAGTACAAGTTGGAAAAAATTATTTACCTTTTTTTTTAAAATGCCTTTGTTTGGTCGTATTATTAAAGGGGATGGGAGGGAAAATTTTAGACAAAAATCCTTCACCTCCCAAATTTCATTCCCATCCAGAAATGGAGAACTTGAACAGGATGGGAGAT